GTGCCTGATCTTTTTGGGTGTTATCTTAAGACTATCATCCAATTCATCCCTTTCTTACAACACAGATAGGTTTAGAGGCAGGACTGGTGGTATCATAACTTCAAGAAGAGATAAGCATCAGAAAAGCAATTCTATAGTTCTGGTCTACTACTTCTTTTTAAGTGAGCAGGTGCTGGTCAAAGATACAGAATTCAGCTCCTGTAATCCACCAATACCCATATCACAACAGAACAGACTTTGAAGGTTGACGCAGAAAGTTTCTTCCAGTGCATCAAAAACCCTCCAAAACAGACAGGCAAATTCCCACTGGCTGCTCCACAACAGATAAGTTCTGGAACTTACTAAAACCCTAGCTACCTCAAACATCAAAGAGGAAACGAAGGTTTTTGGTTTTCTTCTGGATTCTCTCGCCAAGCTTCACACAAGTGCCTCAAAAAATCATAGCCTTGCCTGCAGTATGCATGAGGATATTTGAAAGGTACTGAATAACTCATGTTCCCTCTACAAAACAATTTTTGAGGACCAATATTTCATGAGTCAATTGCTGTGCTACATCAAAGCATTAATAAAAGCTCACAAAAGTCTACCAAGAAATTATTTTAGAGTCACAGCCACTATTAATACTTGGACCATTTGCTGTAGCCCAAACCAAGGCATAATCTGAAGCCAACCCGCACAAGCAGATTTGAATTAAATTTGCAGCAAATTTGCACAATTTGCAGAAATTCAAACAACTAAAACTAACCACTGCTAGAGAGTGGCTGGGAATACACTGAGGCACACTCTAGAGGATTTGTTTCAGGGCTGCCAGTTGGACCTGTAATTTTATGAATTCTTATTCCGTCATTTTCACTTCTGTAACTTGATACGCATATGTTTTCTTATAATACCTGAGTCAAGGCAAAAGTAACTGCTTACCATTGTGCTGCAATGCTCTCTAATCCAATTAAATTGTATTCTGTAAGATAACATCTGGAATACTACCTTCTACTACTTTTATAGATCAGTAATGAAACACATTTTAACCTTCCAAGAACAAAATATAAAACAAAGAAAAATCTTTTTTTTTGAAAGTAGAAAACTGCAAACAAATAAGAAGATAAGAGTGCCATATGCAATTCAGAAGACCTTTCCATTCACCACTAAAGGAGTTTTAAGAACTGATTTTTAAGATGGAAAGCCAATCCATCACTCAAAAATGATTTAAGATGTTCTAGGACTTCAACAAATTAAGTTTCATCATTCTATGTACTTTTGTCCCTCCTACAGTAGTAAAGCATCTGCTTATATGGATATTTCAGTTTCATGTTTTATTATTTTCTGCTCAGCCAATGTGCGACACAGTAATCAGCCACAAGTTCATTTATCAAATAACAAGAGATCACACTTGATTTGTTCACTTCTTCTGAACTCAGTCAGGAGGTCTTCAGAAGCTTCACAGCCAGACCACAGTTTTAGGGACTTCAATTTCATCTTTCCCATCCCTCCCTTTTTTTTTTTTTAAAAAAAAAGGAATTGGACAAAAAAAAAGTCTGGATATTAGTGAATCAAGATGGAAATAAACATTATACCTTTACAAGCTACAGATAGTTGATTCCCCAACCTTACTGAGTTTTGAGTCTAAGTTACAGTAAATGTTTACTAACTTAAAAGAATTCTTCACAAGTGTATTTACACAAACTGTTTAGAGCCAAAGTGCTTAAAAGCACCAATCCCACATAGACACCAAAACATTCTGCAAAACATTTTTTGGCATACTCCTTTGAAAAAAAATCAAGACAAACATGCTCGTGGGAAGCTATCAAGCACTGAACCATTGTGATAAGTCTGGCCTACTAGAGAGCAGGGTAATATTTTCACCTATAAATGCTAATGAATTTAAAAAAGTGTAGACCTATATTATACACATTATAAGATAGCCTTGAAAAAAATGATTATTACTTCACCATCCTCCTTATTTTGATTTTCACCTTGGATAGAATTAAAATAGAAAACTAAAGACAATACTTCTTCAGAGGCACGCAGCGCTAAGTCTCCGCTGAAGATAAAGGAGTCAAAATGCTTAACATCCTAGAGGGGAACAAAACTAAAGACTTTCCTGATAGGCAAGCACCTGAAATACTGCAGAGTCAACATGAACGTTCATGTTCATGAAGTATTCAGTTCCATTTTTAACCAGTGGCATAAATGATACCCTTAAATGTTTGTCTCCTTCAAAGAGGAGAGAATACTGAGCTACGATCTGTCAAGCTTAGAACAGGTGAGCTTTCTGAATGTGAAATGCACTTTTAAAGAAATAGACCAGGAATGAGTTTTCTCTAAATGCCTAATATACACAATATCAAAGATGCAGGCAAAAGGAAATACTTCATATTAATGAAGCATTATTGACCTATTTCTACTCTGTAGCTGCAAGATAAAGAAGCCTTTTAAAACAATGTTTTCCAAACTCATACTTTCCGTAGTTCAGTGAGAATCTGCATTGTGATAGTAACAATAAGGAAGAACACACTGTAATGTCTTTCAGAGACACGAAACTATCCAGAACATTTTTAATCAATGAAACCCAACAACACATCCAGCACCTGCAATTTTGCCAGCTATGAATAAGAACGTTTACAGAAGCCAGTCAAGTAGGTTAGAGTTAAAAGGAATGAAAGAAGAAAAGTCCTATTTCCACTACTAATGCTGCACACAAGTCATTTCTGACTTCAAGTTTTTCCTTTTGTTTACCCAAAGTAACTAATAAGAAAGTGGCAGCACACAGTAATTGGCGTGCACTGTTTTCACAGCTGGAAAAACTGAACTTATCCAGAAGTAGTAGCAGTCGCCACTTCTTTGGGACAGAAAGCTTCAAATGAGGAATTTGGAGCAGGCAACCAAGAAAAATACTTTTTGTAGTGATCCTATTACAACATTATACTGCTATGAAAAAAAAGTTCTTAAAAACAAACAAACCAAACCCCAGCAGGTTCTCTGAGCAAGTGAGATCTGATGAAAGTTACAGCAGTCTTGTCAAGAAAAGACCAACCACATGGCATGGAAAAAATAAAATCAGTCAACCGATGCGCAGGATTCCTGTCCAGATCACCAGCTCAAAACCAGACAAAAATCAGTAGAAGAAAAAAAAAAAGTCAATATGAGAACTGCTGTAAGAATCATAAAAAGAAAAAAATCAATACTGGATCTCAAACTACTGTTCAGTTGTGACTAGGAATCTCAACTAGTCATGAACTGAGAATCAGCAGCATTAAGTCAGCATCCTCAAGAGAGGAAAAAGTCCTTTTTAATTTAGAACTGTTCTCTTAAAGAGAAGAGAACATCAAGAAACCCACCACAGAAAGCAGCATGAAGAATCAAGTGTCTTTTGCCCATCAAATATAGTACAGAAAGTAAGTCTAGTTTAGGCAACGTAGCAGCAACTACCACATTCAGCTAGCATTAAGGCTAACTTTTCCACCACTGCTATTGTCAGCTACTTCCGTCACTCCAAACCAGAGAACACCAATTTAAGTGAAGTACGAGTAAAGACAGACAAAGCAATTTAGCTGTTCGCTATCCCAAACACTTCAGACTTCAGTCAGTTACTTTCTCTCTTCTTTCTTCCCTAGAGGTCTGCATCACTAGTTATTCAAATACTTTCTCTCAGAAGAAGTAGAAAGTACTGAGTCACCATGAATGACTAAGTGACCTAAGTTTTCTCATGCAAGATTCACTGAGTTGTGTATTAACAGGTAACTTCATACAATGGCTTCCATAGAAAACTAAGATACCAAAAGCAGCAACATTTTTGATGCTGGAAATAGGAGAAAATAAACTATTGTTATGACATCAATGCTATTAGTTAATAGCACTTAAATCCCTAGGAGTCAACAAGAAACCTTCTCTAGCTGTCAAGAAGAGAAAGAAACAAAATTCTAGAGCAAGGCAGCCATAACAGCCTGATGTGCCACCAATTCCGTAACATTTATCACTTTGGAAACCTACTCTGCTAAACATCCCTACCAAATTCAGCTTTCCTAACTCATACAAAATTCAGTGAAAGTCCCAAACGCATAAGAACGGCAAGGTA